TCCTATGCCGTGACCACACCCTAAAGTCTTAACCCAAAACCCTAAACCCAAAACCCTGAACTCTAGGCAACCTGCCTGTCCATTCAGCAGCGGCTTGGCCATCTCGCAGAACATGAGGAAGACCACTGTCAGCCTCTGAGCAGGCATATCAGCTATAGTCAGGGTCCTGCCCCCACCCAGTAACAGTCTATGATAGGGGTCATATTAAGGGGTTTATATACTTATATTGTAAATGTTATCTAACTGTTAATGAGTGGGGGCAGTATCCAAGCTATAGTCTAGACTCCTTCATATAGGGTTAAAGGTTCAGGGTTCAGGGTTTAGGGCTTAAACTCCTTTAAAGGGGTATTATATAGGGGAGTACTATCGGGGTTATTAAGGTGATACTAGGAGTTTAGACTATGGCTCATGTTATGAAACCCAAATCGTATCTATGAGCGTATTTCCCGATTATAACTTGGGTTCTCGCTGCCTAGAGAATAGTTTAGGCAATGGCGCGAGATCACAAAATCTGAAATTCCGCTACGCTTTCAGAAATTGAAAGCATTAGCATGGAACTCCGTTCAAAAGCAGAATAATTCCGGGAGAGGGCATTGTCCCTGACCTTAGGCCCCAAAACCTAAAATCATAGCGTTTCATGTAAAAAAATACTATGCCTGATGGGAGGATACAGTCTTACTTTATGTTGGGTACTGTACCATAGTACCCCGAAGCAAAATACGACTCAGCCGAGTAGCAAGGAGATGAGGCCGAGCGGTGCAAAGCGAGGCAAGAACGTCTTCCAGTACCAGTCCCGCCGGTGGCCGACGCACCACCTGCAGGTCTCCCAGAATTATGGTTTTGGTTTAGGGTTTTAGGATTTAGGATTTTTCTCAAGGGCTCAGGGTTTAAGGACTTGGGATTTAGGGCTTGGACAGGTGGATGAGGGGGGTTTAGGAAGTTTAGGGTTGAGGATTTGCTTACTCTTGAAGTGGAGAGTATGTTGCCACGATCAGTGAGGGCATATGAATGGGGGGGTGCCAGGAGTTTGAAAAATCACCACATGAAGACCCCGATGGCCAGAGGGATGCCCAAGTAGATGGCCACATTGGTGAAAACCGTCAGGAAACTCACTGAGCCTTCGATGTTGATGCCACAGGCCTGCCCGACCACCGCAAGCAAGGTTACGATCGGAGCATACCCGACAATTGTGATCAAGGAGTTCAGGAGAACCAACGACACACACAGAAAGCTGTCCCCATCAGCCAAAGAGTTCCAAACAAGCACCATGGCAATGCACCGTGCCGCACCAATGAACACGACTCCCTGCAGCAAGTCTGGGTGCTTGGAGAGAGTCAACATCCCCAGGAACAACATCAGGAAGGGTCCCACGATCCAGTTCATAACCATGCTCTGGACTGCGATACGCTTGGGAATGCGCCTCACAGCTGACCCGAACTCGTTGTACTTCACTGCTGCAAAAGGAGGCAGCAACATGGCAATCATGCCTATTGCTGATAGCAGATTCGTGTTGCCAACCTTAAGGCCTTGGATCACCTCATCCAGGCTTGTAGCATAGCCCAGTAAAACCCCAGCACCAGCCGCCAAAAGGATCCAAAGGGTCAGGAACCTCTCCAATCCCAATTTTGCTTTGGGCTTGTGGCGCAGTACCGCATCAGGGCAGCACAGCAACTCTTCGCCAAAAGTCACACGAGGGCACACGAAGACCGCTGGATTTTTGGTCAGATCAAAATCTAAGGCCTCCAGTCTAAGGTCCTCCTTCTCCGGCAATCGACGACCATCAATGCATACATCAGCAGTCTCAGGATCCACACCCAGAGCCTGTTGCACCTGCTTCACCGTGAACCCTCCAACTAGGCCCAGAGATGCCACGGTGCCCTTGGCGCAGTCCTCCCCACACCTCTCCCCACAGGTTGGTGCAGACATGACACTGGCAAGACTTCCTTAGCTTAAAGCTGTCTCGAACCGCAAAATATGCTTAACCAAAGGCTGGTCAAGAAGAAGTTCTTGAACCTGACGTTTGCTCACCATACCAACCGAAACCCTGAGATGAGCAGCATGGCACGTGGTCCCTACAGTCATACGCAGCAGCATGACACCTGCACCAATTCTGAGCCGCAAGCTGCACTCGCAGCTCGTTGAAGGAATCCTCCAAGACACCAATCGGCCATGCCCTGGCCAGCTGGGAAGTGGGGTTTCCATCAAAGGGGTGCCCCAATGTAAAGCCCAATATATTATTGCTGTCCTTATCGTAGGAACTGCAAAAGGGGCCCTAATTTTTCCAAACCCCTCTGTGAAACTTGCTCTGCCTGCTATCCTAACCAAACTTGGGAACAACCGTACCTAACCCTCCCTCTAACTGCAACTTCATTTGCTAAGTGGCCTACACATGACCACAAATAAATTCAGCACTGAAAGCTCCATTTCCGCATTATGCTCCTTTCACATCCCGGTGATATGCAGCCCTCTACATTTTGGACACCAAGGGCCCCCCTAGGCTTATACGTCCAAGGATGACAACTAGGAGGTATCCACACTCCCCATGTCCTAGACATAACGGGCGGGCTCCGTCCTGCGGGAAACTACACCTCACTTACGGGCAACACCTGTAAAACATCACCATAACATCTCAACAACCGCATAACATCTCAACAACGCCAAAAAAAAAGGCTCGCACAACGCCTGAAATTGTGATCTGAAATCCATAGAGCCCCTACGTAGCATGAAGAAATGAAACACATAACTCTCAGAAGTCAGCCATAATCATCCACTGAAGGTAAGGCTGCCAGAAAGACGAGGTGGCGCTGTATGCTGAAGTGCCCGGCTCCATGGTGGAAACCGTGGCCTCCCATGGGTTGATATTAGGGTTTTAAGGTTTAGGGTTTACGGTTTAGGGTTCTTTTGAGTCTTGATATTGGTAATATAGGGGTGATATAGCAAGATAGGGGGGATATAGGGATTATATAGGGATACTGGAAAAGATACTGCAACCTACTATAGTACTATAGGGTATATATCCAGTGCTTGGAGTTTGGGGTTCTCAGTTGACAGCTCAGGACTTGGAGGCTTTAGCTGAAGTTAGAGATGAAGAGAATTGCAGGGGACTGCTGTCAGCTGTCACAACTTGGGGCATGGCTGACATGATTATGAGGACTTGCACTGAACAGTGGTACTATAGTAACTAACATCAAAGGCAACACAAAGGCATGTGGTAGTGTCCCAAAATAAGGGGACCCCAACATAGACTTATATAGAGCCCCATATCTGATAGTCCTCATTATTGGGACCCCCACAAAGTACCCCTAATTTTGGGAAAACCCTATCTGGCAGAAGCTGACCACTTTTCGAGTGTATGCTCTCTGCTGCCATTGCATTGACAGGATCACAGCAGGGATGCTGCGCTGGCGTCCCAGTCCGTGTCCTTGTCCAGCCCGGCTAAAGTTTGCAGATGGCTTCTCTCGGAAAATCTGCAGGGCTTAGCTTTGGATATCCGCAGTCGGACTTGCACCCATGAGCAATTTCTATCTTATTGTCCTGAACTCATATTGTCATTCTTGAGTTTATTTGACAGTTCCACACTCCAAAGCAAGAATCGGGTCACTGCCTCAACGACTTGCTTCCGCCGTTCAGTGCCCAAGCTTTCTCAAAGGGACCGTTACAGGGCCCCAAGGCCCCACAGCTCTGTCATCCAGGGCCCACCGCCCAGAAGGCGCTTTTTTGCATCCACTCATGGCGTGCAAGCTGAGTGATCGCCCAACTCCCAACAGGAGGCCAAGTCAATCCCGGTTAAAAACTTGGGGAAAAAGGTTGCTTGACGTCCTGGCTACGCAAATGTGCGCTGATGCTTTGCAAAGCAAGCTCCGAGCAAGCTCCGAGCAAACAAATACATGTCATCAAACTTCGTGGCATCCACGCACATACAAAGGCACACATACACAACTCTCATTCCAGTAATCACGCAAGTACGTATGAATAACATCATCAGTCCCAGTATCATCAACTGTGCCATGACTGACTGGAGCACTCAGGCGTCTACCTTCTCCTGCTCCTTGGAAAGCGGGCAGGGAAACAGCTTCAGTTCAGCTTTCAGCAGCTTTGACTCTAGGATGTCAGTGACATACTGCTGCCCTGCTACTCTTTGCAGTAAGGTGCCCACTATGATAAGAAGAAATCCTCTGACCAGAACCAGCACAACAAACACGTCTACCACAGCTTGATCCTTCCGGTTCCGTATATGAGATGTAGTCTAAACCCCTAGCATCCCCCTCAAAACCCCCTAGTAGTCCCTATGTAATCCCTATATGACCCCCTGCCAGGAGTTCATACCTAAAGTCTAGACCCCAAATAACCCTCTTTAAGGAGTTTTGACCGTAAACCCTACACCCTAAGCCTTGAACCCTGCACCCCAAACCCTAAACCCTAAACCCTACTGATGCAAGCAAAGGGCCAGCCAAGTGGAAAACTTGGCCTCAATCTGCTCATTAACCTTGGCCATGCCATCTTTGACCTGGGGCAGTTTAGGGTTCAGGGTTTAGGGTTTAGGGTTTTTGGGATTAGGGTTTAGGGCTTAGGGTGCAGGGTTTAAGTTTTTTGGCAACGCCTCTTTCCTCCGGAAAAAGCCCACAGGGCGGATGCATGTCCGGTCCATCCTTCCACCCGTCAGGTAGCAAGCTATCAGTGAACTTAAATCCCTATATTGCCCGAGTTTCCATTTCAGTTTCCATGTTCTTTTCCATTTGATTCTCCATTATTAGCGGATAACACCCCTAAACCCCAAACCCCAAACCCTAACTGACCCCCATGTAACCCCTATATAACCCCAATAGAACCCTAAGATATGGCTATAGGGGCATAATATGGGAGCCCTACCAATATGTAGAGAAACTTGACAGGAAGGGGCAATCGGCCCTTACAGGCATACTCTCCGAGGCAGGGTTTAGGATTTAGGGTTTAGGGTCTAGGGATCTTTGACTTGAGTAGTGTTATTGGGTGGTTGAGCCCAGTAAGATTATACTCTTAATGTAAAATACCCTACCCAGAAAGAAGATATAATCTTACTCTATATTGGGTACCACAGTATCCCAAAAAAATGCTACTGACCTGGCGCCGACGGTTGAGGGTGTTGGTCTTGCAGATTCAGAGGCTGCAGAAGACAGGTGACAGCAAGCAAGGACTGGGCAGCTCATGGGAAAGGGGCACAACCTGAACGAGGGTCGGATGAGACCTGAGACCCTAAACCCTCTACTTGGAGGCCCAAGGGACTTAGTAAAGGCTTATAATCCTGCTTATAATCCTACGAAATGGGCTTATAGGAGTTCTCCCAATTATAAGTAGGGTTATAATCCCAGCTATAAGTAGTTACTAAGTCCCATCGGCCTCCAAGTAGGTCCTGAGACTCGCACCACCTTCCCGGTCATCAATTTGGCAGCCTTGCAACTTGGCCACTTGGTTTGGGTTTTGGGTTTTGGTTTCTAGGGTTTAGGGTTTAGGGTTTCAGAGAATGCTCACACGCCGCGGCCGACACAAACGAAATGTTTTTTTTGTGGCTCCGTGCATTGAGTTAAAGGCTCAGCCGTAGCCGTCAGCCAATTAGGGTTTGAGGTTCATCATGATTATAGATCCTACGATTATTACTGTTATCTCTATCATTCCTGTGATTCTTTTTGTGATCTGTATTACTATCATGACTATAAGATTTAAGGCTTTGGGGTCCAGAGTAAGCTTGAAGATGTCCAAATTCAGGGCAAGAGGGCTGCAAAGCGAAAAGGTTGTCACAGGATAGCCCCCCAGAGCTACAGTGGCTACCACCTATATTGGGGTTATATTGGGGATAATGGAAAAGAAAATGGAAACTACTATAGTATATTGGGGTTATAATAATAAACTCTAAACCAACCCCTATATAACCCCAATATGCTATAGTAGTTTCCATTTTCTTTTCCATTATCCCCAATATAACCCCAATATTTACAATTAAGAACCTTTCACTTTGCTCACATGGAAAGGGGAAGGTCGCACAAACTATGAGCTTTCTTGGACAAATTTTATGCCGCAGGTCACCAGAACCCCCAAAAGCCCAAATCCTAAACCGAAGCCCGCACCCCCAAAGCAAACTCGAGCAGCCTTCTCAACAAAGCCATCCGGCAGGGGGAACCACCATGGGAGGTTCATCCTCGACTTGGACCTTGGTCGCAACTACAAAGGGAAGCCCATCATCCCTCAGTACCTCATGAGGGTTTGGGGCTTAGGATTTAGACAGCCTCAAGCTCTAACCAGTTAAAACTTACAGGACCAAAAGAAGGGTTTCCCAAAATTAGAGTTACCATTTTGGGGTTCCCTATAATGAGGATTATAGTATTGAGGGAGTAATATTTGTGGACCCTGATTTCGCGGAACTAGCATATCAATGCTAATATACATATTGATGACACCACGAGTAATGTTTTGGAGCTCTGGGATCAAGATCCTCGTTGAAACTGAGCTCTGTACCAAGCATGGTTGACGATCTCAAGACCTCTCAGGTGCTTGACTGCTGATTTCTTTGCATACCTTACCCTATGGGGACCAAGTCGGGAGAATAAAAATGCTAGGATTCGCATTACACCACAACTGTGTATTTTCTTTAATCAGGGTTTCCCTGCACATGCCAACATACTTTAGGTCCTTGCAGGGACCTCCCAAAAAGGGCCCCCTAAGTTCTGTAGACGAATCCTTGCAAGAAGGCAGGGCAGAGAAGTGAATCGTATGCCTCCTTGTCCGTTCTCAGTCCACTCAATGATGTTCTCGGACTCCATGTCCATCTCGCGGAGCAACAACACAACACCAGACTCAATGTACAGTGTCCTTTTTGTGGCCTTGTACTGCGGATCAAAAGTGACCTCCCCTGTCTTCTTGTCCACGTTTCCTTCATACAAGAAACTTGCAAGGAAAGGGAAGCGAAATAAATGCAATGTAACCACCATAACAGCAACGTCAAAGAAGGCATGAATACAATCAAAATGACCATCAGTGATAATGCTGCCTAAGCCCCTGGATCCTGGCCAATGCACCAGCTCCAGAACTTGCAAAATGTCAAGAACACTCCAACTTCCCAAAACTTGCTCACCGGAACCCAAACCCCAACCCGCTTTTGAGATCTCCACTTAGGCGTTCTCAACAACAGGGAGGGCTCTTAGCGAACCTATGGATGCGAGGAGGTCAAACAATTGAAAGAAGTCTTTTTTGTATGGTGTTTTCAGGGATAAGCTTGAGACACCCGACCTGGGTGCATGTCCAGGATGTGAACGTTGCACTTGCCACCAGCCGCAGCAACCTCGACCTTTACCTGTGCCCAGCAGACAGCGATCTTGACAATTCCTTGGGCACGACCGACTGCTGCTGAGAAAGGTTAAGACGCATACGATTGGATATCAAGGAGGAACTAACAACATCACGTGCAAAGACGATGCAGTTTGTGTTTAACAACTCACGTCATGCTTGTAGTTCGCATGCTCGATGTCACTGGCTTCTTCGCCGAGATCTGAGAATCAGCGAGCTTTTGCAACAAGATTGACTGCTCCACTTCGGCTTCCACGCTACCAAGCCTCCATCATGAGCTGTGATCGGTAAGGGCCGATGTCATTGGGCCTCTGCAAATGTCACAATTTTATCCTACAATGAACAGTTTCCAATGAAATTTGTGTTTTCAATTTGAGTCTCCATTTTGGGGTTAACACTCCTAAGCCCGACATAATCAACATAATACCCCATTATGATTTTGACGGACAAGAAAGTCGGTCTCAGCCCCCAGCTTCATGTAGCATTGCAAGATCTCTGGCTGGTCAGCCTTGGGGACAATCCGTTCCAAGTTCTGCAGGCTCACCTGGCAGTTCGTGATGTTCTTGAAAGATGAAAAAGCTAAAGATGATACTAAAAGGCCATAAGTTTGCTATGACTATCGCTGCTTCCGCTTTGGTTGTGGATCAGCTTCGTGGTCTGCTTTGCAAGCCCACCGCTTCCGCAATCACGAGCCAAGCATGCCCCAAGAAATCATCAACAACCCCTCGGGGCTAAAGAGAGCAACATGATGACAGTATGCAGTAGCCATGCTAGACCACCACTGTCCCGAGCACACAAAAGTGAACATGTGAAGAATCGTTCGACTTATAAACTTAAGTCGGTAAATGGTCTCAGCGCAAGCCAAAAGACTGGCTGCCACTACTGCTACATCTTCTGCTTATAATCTCAATACAGCTTATGCTGTTACTGCTGCTGCTGCTGCTACTACTACTCCTTCTCGACTGATAGTCTAAGATACAGCAGAAATGATGGAGTGCCTCAGCTGCATTCTCTCGCATGAAGGCATCCTCAGCTGCATATGCTGAAAGAACACGGTGGGCGTCTGATTCAGGTGCAAACGGGTAAGGGCTTGGGGTCTAGCCCTAGACCCCCAAACCCCTAAACCCTTAACCCCTGAAGCATCAACCCCAAACTCCCAACTGATTAATCGGGCCTCCAAGGATGCTTCTCAAAACCTTCGGTCCCTGTTTTGGGGCAGCTGTACAGACGACTACATGGGCGTTTCCCAGAGTGAGGGGGTTCCCTTACACGGATTCATAGAGGCTATAATTGGGATATATAGGGATATACAGGGATATACAGGGTTTAGGGTTTAGGGTTTCCCAGAATTAGGGGTCTCCTCTTCGGGGCTCCCGATATTTAAGGAGTGTAGTATTTAGGGGTCTATATTGGGCTCCCCTGTTTTTGGAAACCACAAAGCGTTTTGGGTGGAAATGATTAGGGAAACCTAGTGCTGAGATGCAAGCTACCCCCAACCTTATGCCCAATCCTATACACTCAGGACACAGTTTGAGGAGATTCGCACTCATCAGATCATACCTTGACTTTTCAAACTACGTCAACAGTCATCTGAAGCCCTCTCGTCCACGGTTGAAGCCTTGGCAAATTTCCTTGGCACAGTAGACCTTGAAATCCACCCTCCCATAAACAAACGCCATGAAGCCATTGAGCTTGACGAGCCTTTTGTGAGGCTCTTCTCCAAGGTAAACTGCAACATCAGCGGTCAAAAGGCTTGCAAAGCACACATAGAAAACAAACTGCTTATAGGTCATGCACAATGTATGTTGAAAAACTGACCTGTGGCTCTTCCGGTGTCATGGTAGTCGTGCCTCGTGGCTGATGCAAATGCTCCGGCCGGACTTCTCGGTCGCCTTGTCCTCCGATGCACTAAGAGCTTGACCAAAGCAACGAAGTAGTTGCAGCTAGCCAATTGTGCATACTGTGCCCATTGATGCCAAACATGCCGCCGGCACCGTAGCCCGTCGCTTCACAGCCCCACGGCGCGCTGACACGATCTTGCTAGCAGCCAGCAGCCCAGCAGCTGGGGAGGCAAAATCTGCCAGCGATCTCCGAGGAGCGCTTGTCGCCTGGCAAGGCAAGATGCTGAAACACTGGGGAAAAGCCTTCCTGAGGCATCTTGCTTCAACAACTTGGAGCCATGATTTTGATGTTGACGCCCTAGCCGTATCCTGGGTTGCTCTTAAGGAACTTGAGTCAAGCTACCATATTGGGTTTATATAGCATGTGATATGGTTGCCCCAATATAAAAATGTAAATGAAGTTCCTCAACAGCAACCCAGTATCACCCCAACATATATATATATATATGTAGTAGCTTGCATGATCTTTCCATTATCTTTAGAATAACCCAAATATCTTCCCTTATTCCCTACTAAACCCAGTCTCAACCCTATATACCCTATATAACCCCTATATACCCTCATTATAGTAACTGAATTAACCCTGCCCTAGACCCTACACCCTAAACCCCAAACCTCAAACCCTAAACCCCAAACCCCAAACCCTAAACCCCAAACCCTAAACCCTAAACCCCAAATATTAGGGGAGAGGATTATTCATTGCTACCGGCCTGGCCAATGGACCTCACGGCGTGCGGCACTTGCCTCTCGCATTTTTAAGTGTTCTACACAGACCCCCTCAAGGATCACAAAAGGGATTTTATAGGGGTTATATAGGGATAATGGAAAAGAAAATGGAAACGATATTATAGGGTTGAAGAGTTTAGGGTTTAGGGCCCTAAAGGATCCAAAAAATGGGACCGCCAAAAAAATGGCTCCATTACTACATTGGGGAACCGAGGGGATTATCAAGGGGGTCCATTTTTTGGGATCCTTTAGGGGGTCTGGGTAAAAGATGGGCCGTCAAAACATGTGGAGCCACAATCTAAACTCCTTGAAGTAGGGTTTTAGAGGGGGTTATTTAAGGAATTATATATGAGACTACTATAGGGTATGTTAGGGGAGGATACCAGGAGTTTAGACTATAGTATAGATCGTGTGCAAGCTTAGAATGGCAGATCCCAAGCTGGTACCAGGTATGTGAGAAAGGCACCGCCTCTTTGCGAAGATTCCCCAAATACTAATAATAGCCAGGATAGTCACTGTCATAATAATGGTAATGATAATAGGCAAGCATAATAATGGGACTGGGAAAGGACATGGTCACAACTCTTAGTTCCACATGTAGTATGCAGAGCCTCTGGTCCAGCACTCTTGCAGCCAGCAAAGGCTGCCAGGCGGCTTGGGGATCCTCGGCTCACATCACTGAACCACTAGGTTGGATCTAGATGCTGCTGATGGCTGGTAGTCGCTCTACCCTTACTGGCTGGCACCAGCGGGCACTACCAGGAAACTGATGTCCGCCAGCACTAAAACCACCACCACCCGACCCAAACCAGAAGATCACGACGAGCACTATGACAAGGAGAACGAAAAGAAACCTGATGGTTATTGTTGTCCCTCCCATTGCAACTCCATGTGTGGTAGAAGGTGCAGACTTTCAACAGCAGCCCTGGCTGCAACCGAGTCACCATGAGGTAAAAGTAAGAGGCACGGTCCAGAACGGAAATCTAAGCTGAAAATGGCTGCGGCTGTCTGATCTGCACGTCGCCAAGGCATGAACATCCTCAAGACACTTTGGTGGGCACGACAACTAGCCCACGACAGCACAAGCCATGGATTGAACAACCACTTTGGCAGCCTGCGGATTACTCTGCCAGATTCTACTTTGTAGCGCATGCCCCAAAGAATACCACTACTGCACAATCGGTCCATGCCTCTTCTTTCCTCTATGAATGCAACTATACAGATATCTATGGATATCTATATGAGTATGTAAGTATATGAATATGTAGTATGTACGCTCCCGGTTCTTCATAGCCCACCTGAAACACCTTGTTCTCCTTCTGCTGGTCGGCCTGGAAGACTCTTACAATCGATGGGAGAGATCATTCAGAAACCCTGAAGTACTGCCCGGTAGTGCCCCAGTCTAACCTTTGCAACATTGGGAAGTCAGGGCGGGGCAGCATCTTCCATCTGTAGTAGCAGCAGCAAGCTAATTCGAGCGCCCCTTGTGCTCATGTAGACTCTTTGGCCATTCTATGCGGGAGTATGCAAACCGGTCTTAATTTTAAGGAAGACCAATTTGTCCATGAAATCTGACAACTGAGAACAACGCTTTAGAGGCATATAGTGCGATCAGAGCTGTTTCGGCGGATTAATTCCTCCGCTCTTGCGGGTCTCTCGGCTAGAGCCTTACAGCTCTCTGGAAGCCCCAACGAGGAGATCTCTTAAGCACTCACAATCTGGCTCAAAACACAGCCTCGTCATCATCGTCAGGGATGAACTGCTCCACCTTCAACTTTCCAACAAAGAGGGTTCCCTACTTGGGAGGTGCAAGGATGTGGACTATAGCATTCCAGCTATGTAAGAACACAGATGCCACATGACTGCAGTGCTCAAATCTTGAAAACTAACATCTTGCCCAACTTCCGCGATTCAAACTGAGCTCCAGGCGGGGGCTCCTTCTGGAAGCGCTTCCATGCTCTTGCACGACTTGCTTAGAAGGTCAGCAGGGCGGCTAGGATTTTATCGTGCAAGGTCTGCGGAGTTGTTTTAAGCTCTGCACGGCAGCCTTGTGGCCTGTCTTGGTCAAGTACACTTAGCTGCATAACCTTTCTGCTCTATCGCAGCGAGGGCGCCCAGTGATCCCTTTAGGGAGCCTGGAGCCCTACCTTAAGCCAAAGAAGTCAAGGAGTTGGACGAAACCATCCCGCGTTATCCATCACTAGCTTCCTGGCTCTTGTGCAAATACGCAGAGGTTCCTGACTGATTCTGCAGCAGCACTTGCATACTGGCAGCTTCTGTTGCCGCTACTCCTTTCCAGTCATCTGAGTTTTTGGGCATTGGCTACAAGAGGCGTCCTAGTTAAAGAGCTTATATGGCGCATCCGTCAATATAACCCCTATAATCCCTATAGTTTCCATTTTCTTTTCCATTCTCCCTATATAACCCCCATAGATTACCGTTCAAAGGCTCTTGCACAATGGCACAATGACATCAGTGGCATGACAAGAGGTTCGCGCGGGCAGTACCTGCATTGGCTCACCTCCAAGCTCGAATTGGCGTCCGCCAAAAGGGTTGTCCTGCCAAGGAAAAGTCCCAAAAAAAAAAAAGGGGTTTAGGGGTT